ATGAAATTATAACAAAATATTAACAGTTGTTATATTTTCTTTCTTATACTTGTCTGTATCTTACAAGTATTCTAAAATGGGCATGTATTTTTTAGTTTTTAATAAAAGGATGGGAGTGAGTAGGTAATACAGGTACACACTATAGCCTCTGCAGAATAAGTTCCATCAAGCATGCTTCTGAGCTGAACATTTTTGTATGAAATGTGCTGGGGTTGTCATGAGATCTACGCTAAGGCAAGACACATCTGTGCATCAGTGATTCACCCTATTAATGGCAATGTGCTACCCCTGTACGGCAGGCATTATTTAATGTCTCTTCTAGCCATGGTCTTTGTAAACTCCCACTAAATGACTTTCTCCTGATCGGTCTGGGTAAGAAGGTGGGAGAAGACGCTGGTGGATTCAATGATTCACTTGTGTGTGATTGTTAGCAGGAAAGGGATTTCTAAACAGTTAGAAATTTCATGAGGGGATTGGACAATGTTACCATCCTGTTAGGTTTAAACGAGACATCTCAGCAGCAGGAGGGGGAAATCTCACTACCGTCAAAGAAGAGCCAGGAGTGGAATGTTCTCCTTGGACCTAGAGATCCCTGTGCATTGAACCTCCTGGACCCAGGGACAGAAAGCTGTGGCACCAGAGGAACAGCAGCAGCAGAACCAAGAGCCAGAACACAAAACAGCAGTGGGTTTTCCAGCCCATGGAGCAAGTAAAGCTGAGTGACTTTGGACAGGAAGCTTGTTTTCAGAATAGGGCACTTCCAGGCACTTAACTGGAGGAGCTAGATTTGCAGACCCCAAAAGCTAGAGCCAAGTACCTTCAGGCTTATTGTGGAGTGGTGTGGCCTGTGGACATTTAATTATCAGCAGCCCTAAAAAAGCTTTGTGACATTGCCGGATCAGGGTCCAGGAAGCCAGGCCAAAGTGCCTTCGTTCAGAGCAGCCTGCATGTGGGCATGGCTAAGGAGAGGTTGTCCTGACTGTAAGAATTGTGTCATGAACATTTCTGACCTGCCTTGTAACCTGGTAACTTCCATAGTAAACCCCGTACCTGTGAATACGGAGTTTAAGTTCTATGTGGCCACCGCAGAGAGAGGGCGGCAGGAGGGAGGGTTCGTGCACACTTTACAACATCCTTTTCTACTCTTATCATCCTTTTGCACTGACCCCTCAGAGAGCTCAGAATTTCCTTCTTTTTCTTCATTAACATTTTCTATGATCTTTTCAAATCAATTAACTCTTTGAAAGAAAAGATAAGTTGTTGTTGTTAAGTACCATTGAGTCAGTTCAGACTCATAGTGACTTTGAATAGGGTTTCCAAGGAGTGGCTGGTAGGTTTGAACTACCAACCTTGTGATTAGCAATCAGTGTTTATCCTACAGTGCAACACCAGGATTCCAGAAAATATAAGAGCTCTATGCAAAAGTATTAAAATAATTGAAAAAAAAAAAGACCAACCATGATAACAGAATCTCCTTACCTGCCTGTCAGATATCCAATCGCAGAAGCAGCATAGCAGGCCTGCAAAGAAACAACACCAGGACTTAAGCATTGGTATCCTTATAGTCTGTCTAGGAGAATAACTAAGCAGTAGTCAATTACTGAGAATTGCGGCCTAGCCAAGCTTCCACATAACCTTAACCATCACAGGTGTGTCACTCTCACCTCACACCTCAGACCTATACTGTTTATGTATTAACGTAGTCAGCGTAGATTTGTTACTATTGTCATAAATGCCAAATCCCAGATAACGAGAGAGTCGATAAGCTGCGATTCAGTGTGCTTTTGTGGTTCAGTGTGCTTTTCTTCTCCTTGGAGTGTGAATTTACAAAATTGGTCCTTTCATTTTCTTACTAATAGATTCATTGAGAGTTATTCCCTCTAGGAAGTGCTTTAGCTGTATCCCATATCATTATCATTCCATTTGAAATATTGCATTTTACATTATAATTTATTCTTCAACTCTTTTTTTTTCCCCTTTGTATTTAACTATTAGTTTCATTTTTGGAAAGAAAATTTTATTGAAGCTAACATTAGGATTTTATTAAAATGAATTAAATCAAATTTTATTCAATTTAATTCATATCTATAGCATTATCTCCATTTTCATTTCTAATATTGGTAATTTGTGTTTTTCTTATATCAATTTTGCTTAAGGTTTATTGATTTTTATTAATCTTTTAAAATATTTACAAAATATCAGCAAGTGTGTTACATAATTCTGAAACCTTGGGAGATTTTCTTGTTAAATTTCTGTTACTAGTGTTTGTTTGAGCTGCATATGGCCAGTTTATATACACCATTTTCAATCCTTGACGTTTTGTTGAGGTTTCTTTAGTGGCCTGCAGATGGTTAGCTTTTAATTATCTATATGGTGTGGTGCTGTGGATTAATGTGCCTGGATGCAAAGCTGTTTGAACTACAAGGTCGGCAGTTCAAGCTCACCAGCTGCTCCTCAGAAACCCCATACAAGGTCGCTATGGGTCAGAATCTACTCAATGGCACTTAACAACAACAACATGGTTTATTTTATGCTGCATTTCAGCTCATAGTCAGGAAGTGTCCAGAGGCCCCAAATTATATAATTAAAGGTAATTAATAAAAATACCGAGTGCCCTCTCAAACACAACCTTCTTATTAGTCTGGGATATCATTTTTTCCCCTAATATAGTATTATCTTGTTTCTTCTTTTTATAGAAACAGTAATAAGCTAGGTAACCTCCCTTCAACTTTTCTTTTTTATTCCCAATCAACTTTAAACATAGTATTTGCTGCTATTGTTGTTAAGTGTTGTTGAATCACTTAACATATAGGGTTTCTGAGGCTTTAAATCTTCACAGGGACAGAAAGTCTCATCTTTCTCCCACAGAGTGGCTGGCAGTTGTGGTCCAGCGCTTATTGTATGGAGCCACCACACTCACTAAATATGGTATTTGTTTTTGCTGTTAAGTGTCGTTGAGATGGTTTTGACTCATAGCGACCTTGTATAGGGTTTCTGATTAGCAGCTGGTGGACTTGAACTGCTGACCTTGTGTTTTACAGTCCAGTGCTGATCCTACAGTGTGACAGGAGGAGTCCAAACATGGTATACTGAACTTAAATCCACATTAAGGGCACAAATATATAAAAAAAAAAAAAATTAAATAATGTTTTATGAATCATAACTTTATACAGGGTCATTTTGAGTCAGAATTGACTTGATGGCACTTTAACAACAACCACCTTAACTGACATCACTACCCTATGTCCAACTAAGAGGCTGCAAAAAGGCTCTGCTCCTTTTCTGTGGTGCTATTCTCTACTGACTAATCATAGGCTGGATCTCTCTTTTCCCTTTTGCACAAAAGGCCAAATTCACAGGGGAGAAAAAGAAGACAACCCTGAGATATCCAAAGGCATTTAAAAAAAAGAAAAACCTGATGCATTAAAAAAACAAAAATGCCTGATGCAATAAGAACACTTACTGAGACGCTAAGAGACATGCCCACCCCCTTTAAGAAATGTTCCTACAGAGTGCAAAATATAAAACTGTATAATAAAAGGCATTTGCCTCTGGTATTAGGTGTTAAAAAAACACAAATGGGAATTGGTTTCACAATCAGATAAAGTGTGTTTAAGAGAGCAGACTCTGGAACCAATCAGCTTTGATTCAAATCCTATTCCCTGACTTTCTTTTATGTAATTTCAACAAATTACTTTATGTACTGATTTCCTCATCTATAAAATAAACATATTTTGTAGCATTATTGTGAGGATGAAATTTCTTAATATGAGTTGTTAGGTGCCATCGAATCAGTTCTGAGTCATAGCAACCCTCTATAGGTTTTCCAAGAAGCGACTGGTGGGTCTGAATTACCAACCTTGTGGTTAGTAGTCCAGTGCTTATCCTACAGCGCCACACCAAGACTCCATTAGAATGAGGAGACTTCAAAAAATTCATGGAAAAATTCCACCGAACTTTTTCAAGCCCCCCAGGTACATGGAAATCACTGGGAATACTGTTCAGCACATAGTAAGCTCTTAATGACCACCAGCTTCCTGACAGTCTGCCTACTTGCTGGTCAGCTTGTCAGTATACATCTTGTTCACTTTAAGTGTCTGACAAAAGACAGTCAAGTCACAGCCAACTCTCTCTTCTCCAGCACAAACATGCAATTAGTCACCTAGCCCTATGGTGTCTCCTGAATGGCTTCGGAACCTCTTCTCACATTCCCTCTTAATCATCACTATCACTACCTAGTTCAAACACTAGAGTCTTCCTCTGAACCTTGAGAAGAGTCAGGTGGGATGCAGGATGTCACTCAGGCACCTCACACTCACTACATTCAAAACTGGACTCATAGCCTTGCCCCTCCTAAGTCAGCTCATTTCCGGTCTCAATGTGTTCCAGGTCAGTCACACAAGCCCCAAGCCTTACTCCTCTTCTCAGTTGGCTCATGCCTACTTATCATTCAAGACAGCTCAGGCATCAACTCTTCCGTGAAGCTTTCCCTGAAGTCCTAGTCTGAGCTGGGAGTCCCTCATCTGGGTTCCCACAGCAGCCTGGACTTAACTCTTTCATAGAGTGAAACTGTGTTTGTGACTGTCTCTACAGGTAAGTTATAAGCCTCTCACATACATACATCTTTATATCTGTGTCCAACATAGCACATAGGATCTAAGGGCCCTCACTTAACTAAGGTTGTTGTTGTTATGTGCCATTGAGTCTATTCCAACCCATAGCAACCCTGTACAGGGTTTCCGAGGCTGTAAATCTTTACAGGAGCAGAAAGCCTCATCTTTCTCCCTGCGGAGCACCTGGTAGTTTCGAACTGCTGACCTTAAGGTTCACAGCCCGATTCGTAACCAGTATGCTACCAGAGCTCCAAGCTTGTTGTTGTTATATGCCGTGGAGCCGGTTCTGACTCAAAGCAACCCTGTACAGGGTTTCCGAGGCTGTAAATCTTTACGGGAGCAGAAAGCCTCATCTTTCTCCCGCGGACAGCTGGTAGATTCAAACTGCTGACCTTGCGGTTCACAGCCCAATTCGTAAACACTACGCTACCAGAGCTCCTAAGCTTGTTGTTAGTTAGCATTAAATTGATTTCAACTCATGGTAACTGCTCATAGAACTGTTCCATAGTGTTTTCAAGGCTGTGACCTTTTGGAAACACAACACCAGGCCTGTTTTCTAAGGCATCTCTGGGTGGATTCAAAGCAACAACTTTTCAACTAGTAGTCGAGTGTTTAAGCATTTGCACCACCTTGCAATCGTCTAACAAAGTTGAAAGAGACAAATACAACTTCAGGTGGGACTCTGTCTTCTGGCTCCTCTCCTCTAATCCATATCTATCTAAGAAAAAAAGAAAGAAAACCCAACCCAACCCAACCCACTGCCTTTAGATGATTCTCACTCACGGCAGTCCCAGGTATTACAGAATCGAACAGCTCTGGAGGGTTCTCTACGCTGCTATCCTTATGGAAGCTGATTGTTGAGCCTTTTTTTCCATGTCACTCCTGGGTGGGTTAGAACAATCAACTTTTATAGTAGATGTTGTTGTTGTTAAGGGCTATCAAGTTGGTTCCAACCCATAGTGATCCTTCATAGGATTTCCAAAGCATGGCTGGTTGTTTTGAACTGCCAGCCTTACGGTTCTAACTGACCTTATCATTCAGCGCATTATCCATCAGCGCCAGACAAGCACAAACTGTTTGCACCACCCAATGACGTTCATAAGCTATACTTATCCCACTGACATTGAAGTTGATTATGACTTTTAGTGACCCTATAGGAAAGAGTAGAACTGCTTCATAGTTTACAAGGTTAGAAATCTTTACAGAAGTAGACTGCTACATCTGGGCTCAAACTGTTGTCCTTTCTGCTTAGGAGCCAAGTGCTTTAATCACTGTACCACCAGGGCTCCTTTCCATATTCTGTATTACCTTCAAACTCATCTTACTAACATATACATCTCCTGCCTTTATGGAAAAACCTTTAAAGTCTTCTATTTTCTACTTAATAAAATCCAAACTCCTCTTCAGGAAGAGAAGACTCTACAATCTCCCCTTAACCTACGCTCCATCCTCATAGTCTACCATGATTTTGAGATACCTTGATGGTCAACAAGAACAAACATCACCTCTACAATCTTCTTTGTCCTACTCATAGAGAATTGATCACTCCCGCTACACTACTACTTCAAAGTCTATTGTGTACATCTATTGTGAGAGTTATAAAACTAGTTACATTTTTTTCTGCATGTCTTGCTCTCAACTACCCTGACTTTATCTAGAAAGTTAAGCCCAAACCTCATTCCTTCTTTATATCCCCTCTCTCCCACAGGTAGATAGCACAATGCCTGGTACATAACTCATATTCATTAAATGTTTGCTGCATAAAGAACTAATGAGTGACAGCTCTCCCACCTCTGGAAAAACAGTAAAATATAGGTCTCAATAGCTTCATCTTCCCATACAAATGAAAGAATGTCCCAGTGAAGAAAAGTACAAGAGAGAAACTGCAGAAACTCAGTATCTGCTATGTTGTTGTTATGTGGCGTGGAGTCGGTTCCAACTCATAGCGACCCTACACAGGGTTTCCGAGGCTGTAAATCTTTATGGGAGCAGAAAGCCTCATCTTTCTCCCGCGGAACAGCTGGTAGTTTTAAACTGCTGACCTTGCGGCTCGCAGCCCGACTCATAATCACTACGCTACCAGTAAGGTTAATTTTTTTCTCACTTTGTAGTTGAGGAATATCATTAATGAATATAAAAATGTATTAAACGTTTACACTGTGAGGGATGGTGGTTGGTGGTTATGTGCTGTGGAGTCGCTTCCGACTCATAGTGACCCTGTACAGGGTTTCCAAGGCTGTAAATCTTTACAGGAGCAGAAAGCCTCATCTTTCTCCCGTGGAACAGCTGATATTTTTGAACTGCTGACCTTGAGGTTTGCAGACCAATTTGTAACTACCATGTTACCAGGGTTCCTTAGCATAGCATATTAACCAGAATTCCAATTCTCCTGGGACTCACATCTGATGGCAGAAGAATGGCACCAGGCAGGAGGTCAAGGGGTGGAAAAAACCTGAATTTGAGTGCAACAGTGTGAGTGGAAAGCAGGAATGCAAAAATGAAGGCAGACTGAGTGGATCTGATGATGCAGAAGATCCCTGATCTTTCAAGTCAGTGTTGCTTTAAAGGTGAGACTGGGTTAAGACAGCAAACACTGATACGGGCTGACAAAAGGTCCTGTTTTCCTTTCCCAGACTTCCAAATAAGCCTCTGAGAAAGGTGGCAGTGCGATGTGGTTCAAAGACCTTTGGACTGGAATTTGGGAAACCTGAATTCCAATTGTGCCTCTGCCATTGTGACATCCTTCAGTTGACAGTCTTCTGTGGTCACAATACCAATGCTCTTGCTTTAGCTTTTTTTGAATAAAAGAGACTTAAATGCATTTACATAATACATACTGTAAGCTGTTTACATACACTAAGTTTACGAGATTCAATATTAGAGTTTCTTTTTTTCTTTAACACTACAGAGTGCAAATCAGGTTCTTCACAACACATTGCATATTAAGCAGTTCTTCAAAGAAGGAGGGGGAAAGACAAAAGCCCAAGTGAATAAAAGCATTGAAACTATTTCCCTTTGAAAATAAAATCTAAGATGATGTGGAATGCGAAATAGGGTTTTAACAATATAATCAAAAATTTAGAGTTCTGTCATTTATTTCACAGGTGTTCCTCTAAGTAATGAGAAGAAAGGTCCTCCCTGCTTTCCTGAAGCTCAGGGCCTAATGGGGACGTCAGATCTACACAAATAATACATAGAAATATATATATGATAGCAAGTGATTTCGCAAAGTGATAGTGAATAACGGGGTTCCCATTCAGACAGGGAAATTTCCCTTCCAAATCTGACACTCTAGACTGCAGAACGCAATGTGGCACAGCAGTTAAGAACATGTAATCTGGAGTCCCCGCGTGGCGCTGTGGGTTAATGCGTTGGATTGCAACATCGGTTTGAACTGTACAGTTGGCGGTTCAAGCTCACCAGCCGCTCCTTGGAAATCCTATACAGGGTCGCTATGGGTTGAAATCAATTCAACAGCACTTAAGCACAGCAACAACTCTGGACTTACGATGCCTTCAAATGCTGGATCTGCCATTACCAACTGGATCACGTTGTACAAATTTGTCTCTCCGTCTCATTTCTCGTCATTCTAGGTTTAGAGGGCTGTTGTGATTAATATGTGTAAAACATACGTACAGTTTACAAGTGCTAAGTGTGTGCAATGAACATCTGTCATTACTTATTATTGCTTATCCCCAATTTGACTCCTTGTGCCCATACTCACCGCTTGTTCATTCCTCATCCCGATATACTTGATGCCCAGTTCCTGCGCGGCCACGGCGATTTCAATCACCGGGATGCCTACGACACCAAACATGTACTTCACATCCTGGGGGGCGGAGGACAGAAAAATAAATGCCCTGGCCCTGCCACATTATTCGCTCCCTCCTGGCTACTGAAAACAAAACCCGCCACAAACGCCGAGCTCGTTTCCAAGAAAACCCACGGCCCTGGTGGTGCAATCGTACTTGCGTTCTCAGGGCCTCAGCTATGACTTTGGCACCAGACACCTGCTCTTCGCTCCTATTGTTGCGTTCTGGGCAATCACTTTTCGGCATCTTTGGCAGCTGACAGCCAAGCTGACACAAAGTCACCCAGCGAAAGAAACCACAAATATGCCCTTGAGCCAATTGTCGGACTGCTCCTCTGACCGACAGGAGGAGGGCTACCAACCGCTTTAAATAACGGGAGGAAGAGGCGGGACTCTTCAGCCACCTCCAGCAGTGAGAGGCGAATGTAAATAAACCCGTTCTCCAATCAGAGCCGTGCTTTTTTCTCAGCCTCCTCCATACGTGGGGCCAGAGTGTTAGAGAAGGCGGGACTAAACAGGAGGCGTCAGCCTAGACCAACCAGGTAAGAAGCCGAATTTACGCATCTTAGGTGTACTTCTTCTTTCCTGAGTCTCTTTATCATCCCGAAGCTTTTTGGGATGCAAAGGGCGCGCCGCGTTGGGTAGAGATGTGGGCTAGTGAGGGCTGGGAGCAGGTCTGGGAGGGGGCGTGGCGCGTGTGTTCGCGTTCCCAGGCCAGCCTCTAACGGCTCTGGGGGTCTATGGACAGGGTCCGCAAAGGCTGCTGGGACTTGGTGGCCGCTCTGGGTCACGCAGTTGACGGAAGTGATTACCTTTGGGTACATTTGGGTAGAAAACGTGCCTTCTGTTTTCTGAACTTTACTTTTCATAACTTCCTGACTTAGCAATGCGTAAATCATAGTAATGCATGTTACTTAAAGCTGTATAAGGCCGCGATCTCTGTAACCAGGATTGTTGTCCACGGACCGTCAGGTCTGTTCCGAGTCATAGCGACCCTATATAAGGTTTGCTAGGAGCGGCCGGTAGGTTTGAACCGTCGACCTTGCGGTTAGTAGCCCATTGCTTATCTTACAATGTCACACCAGATCTTCGTAACCGTGTTTATAGACGAATAACTCAAACTTCGAAACTAGAGTTGAGTAACTTGCCCAGAGCCTTTGGACTTAGACATTGCTTATGACTCCAAGCCCTGCCCTCTATTCACCGGTCACGCCTTAGATTTCAAAAGCTAAGAAGGATCCATTACCTCGTTAGCATTGAGAAATGTTTTCTCTAAACTTTGCTATTAATGTTTCTCACTGTCTTTCCAAAGTCAGGAATATGAGTTTTTTTCATAATACTTACATTCAGAGCCTGCAACCAGCCCCTGCGCTATTACTTTTCTAGCTTCTTTCAAGATTTTTCTTTTTGTCTTTGATTTTCTGCAGTTCAATTGTGATAAGCCTAAATTTTGAATTTTTTTGGTTATATATCCTGCCTGGTGGTCTCTCAATTTCTTGGATCTGTGCTTTGGTGTTGATAATTTTGGAAGAATCTCAGACATAAGAAATACTTAAAATAATGTTGAGATTATTAAATATTTGTTATGTTCCTTTCTTACTTATAGAATTCCCATTATGCAAATGGTATACCTTTTATAATTGTTTCACAGTTGTTGAATATTCTGTTCCTTTTTCCACCCCCAGTCTCTTCTCAGTACTTTTTGGAGCCCTGGTGTGGTGGTGTGGGTTAATGTCCCAGACTGCAAAGTCGGTTTGAAGAGCAAGGTTGGCGGTTCAAGCTCACCAGCCATTCCTGGGAAACCCTATACAGGGTCGCTATGGGTCAGAACCAACTCGATGGCACTTAACAACTCTTATCTTTGCTTTTCAGTTTGAAAAGTTTCTATTGGTATATCTTCAGACTCGCTGATTCTTTTTCTTGGCTGTGTCCACTCTATTTATGACCTCATCAAGGCATTGTTTATTTCTGTTACAGTATTTTTGATTTTTTCACATTCCCCATCTCTACTGAGATTATTGATCTGTCCTTGCTTACTGTCAGCCTTTCCCATGAGTGCCATTAGCATATTAATTATTACTTTAAATATGTGGTCTGCTTATCTCTCCCGTATCTGAGTCTGGTTCTTATGTTTGCCCTGAAACTTAAGACTTCATGTTTTGCCTTTTAGCATGTCCTGTAATTTTTTTGTTGAAAATTGAGCATAACAGAAAGAGTAAGAGGAACTGAAGTGCTTTCTGTTATAAAGTTCCATTGATGTTGATGGTGATGTGATGGTAAATGTAGGAATAGGGGAAGCCTTCACTCCAATGATTGGATTTCAGTCTTTTAGTGAACTTGTGCTCCTGAGTTGTGACTTTCACAGGCTTCTGAACTTTTGCCATACACACATGCCTTCCTTTAAGTGAAACAATAAGGGAAGAGTAGTCCGGATTTCTGTATTTCTTTCCCCCAACACTGAAAGTTAGAAGGCTATATGTAGTTAGAGCTGGGTATCTCCCCCTTTGCAAGTTTGTTGTTGTTAGCTGCTGTCAAGTCAATCCCCAACACATGGCAACCCCATGCACAACATGTCAAGGTGTTCCATAATGTCCAAGAAGTTGTGATCATTCTGTCCCTTGTAAGCTTCACCACATTCATAGGTCTCTTTGCAGTAAAGATGTGTTTGTACAAACATCCTCTGTCAAACCGTTATGTATTTGTAGGTATTCTCTCCCTCTCCCTCTCCCTCTCATACGCATTCAGCCTGTGTATCTATTTATGCATCTACGTACAGAACACTGTTGTTGCAGTGTTGTGTATATAACAGTATTTACTCTATCCCCTTAACCCTTGCATTCCTCCCTGTGCCTTCACCAGTCTTCACCGTTCTTCTGCCAACCTCTCTCGTTGTGTATTACCTTCCCTGATGCCAAAGTTAACAGGTATCTACTCTAGCCAGTGAATTACTCTCTCTTCCCTTCCACCCTTGGTAACCATAAAAGAATGTTTCTTTTAGCATAAAAATCTTGTTGTTACAATACTGGTCTCATACAATATTTGTCCTTTTGTGATTTGCTAATTTCACTCAGCATAACGTTGTCCAGGTTCATCCAAGTTATGAGGTGCTCCACAGATTTAGCATTATTTGTCAGTGTTGCCTGGTATTTCATTGTATGTACCAAGGTTTGTTTATCCATTCTTCCATTGATGGGCATTTACACTGTCTCCATCTTTTTGCTCCTGTTAATAGTGCTGTGATGAACCTGGGTGTGTATATATGTACTCGTGTCATGCTCTTATTTTTTGGAGTTATATAAACCAAGTAGTTGCTGGGTCATTATTGCTATTTCCAACTTTGTGCGATACTGTTTTCCACAGTGGCTACAACACTTGACAGTCCCACCAATAATGGAAGAGGCCTAGTCTCCACACTCTCACCTGCGTTTTTTGTTTTTTGTTTTTTCTTTTAACTTTGCTATGAATGCTGGGGTGTGATGATATCCCATTGTTCTTTTGATTTACATCTCTCTAATGGGAGCCCTGGTGTGGCACTATAGGATGAACACTGGACTGCTAACCAAAAGGTCAGCAATTCGAACCCACCAGCTGCTCCTCAGAAGCCCTATAAAGGGCAGCTATGGGTCGGAACTGACTCAACGGGACTTATAACAGTGACTACTGACTGTAGTGTAGTGGTTACAGATCGGGCTGCGAACCTCACGGTCAGCAGTTCGAAACTACCAGCTGTTCCACGGGAGAAAGATGAGGCTTTCTGCTCCCGTAAAGATTTACAGCCTCGGAAACCCTGTATAGGGTCGCTATGAGTCGGAACCGACTCCACGGCACATAACAACAACAACTGATCATGAACATTTCTTAATGTTTGTTGGCCAACTGAATATTTCCTTTGGTGAAGTGTCTATTCATTTCCTCTGCACATTTTTAAATTGTATTATTTGCCTTTTTCTTGCAGAGCTGTTGTAGTTTCTATAAATTTTATAATGTAATCCCTTGTCTGATATGCCAGTGAAAAAAAGCTTTTTCCCAGTCTCTGGACTCTTTTTACTCTTGTAGTGAAATCTTTTGATGCACAGAAGTGTCTGCTTTTTAGGAGGTCCCAGTCATCTATTTTGTCTTCTGCTGTTTGTGCGTTTTTATTTATGTTTCATAGTGTATTTATGCCATGTATCAGAGCCTCTAATTTTATCCTTATTTTTTTCATTGATGATCTTTCTAGTTACAGGTTTTACATTTAGTTCTTAAATCCACATTGAGTTTGTCTTTGTATGTGGTGTGAGATAATGAATATTTCATTTTTTTGCAAATGGATTTCCAGTTTTGCCAACACAATTTTTTTTTTCTTCTTTTTTTAAAATGTTTTATTGTGCATTATTTGATAGTTTACATGAGAGAGCTTTAGTTTTACATTCATTCCATCGTATATCATCTCATTGTCATGGTTCCAATCCCCTCCATGCATCATCAATCAGCCAAAGGGTATATCCTAGAAATCCGCCCCCTACCTCTCCCCCTTCTCCTCCCCCGTCTCCAGTTTTCGGCCCACAGTGCCTTTCCCTCTCTGGATCCAAAATCCCCCGCCACTTCCACTCCATGTCATCGTCTCTGTCTCTATCTCAGGCATCTCTGTCTCTCTGGGTAGGGTCCCTCTCTCGGTAGGGTCCCTCTCTCGGCTCTTCTCCGTTGATGGTCCCAGAGATCTCCGCTCCTATCCTGGAGAATTAATCACTCCCTTCCTTGTTACAAAACGTCTACCTTTGCATTTCGAACCCTCACACTCCGTCCTGATAAGCATTATTCACTACAGTATCACGAGTTACCCATCTGTATTTCTTTTCATCAGCTCCGTCCAGAAAGATTGAATTGTACCCAGTGGAGATTCTGCCTTCCTCCATGCTCCCTAGCACTAGGTTCCCTTTTGAAAGCTTGTAAGCCAGTCACTTCTTGCCTTTGAGTACCCCCTCCCCATTTGAGTATCCAATGTCCCAGTTGCCCATCTCCGTCCACTCTGTGTGTGGAGGGGGTGGGAATGTTTCTTGCTGTAAGGATTTGTTCCTTCACCAACACAATTTGTTGAAGAGACTCTGTCTTCTGCATTTAATGTGTTTTGGCCCTTTGTCAAAGTTCAGCTGACTGTGTGTAGATGGGCTTACTTCTGGGTTCTCAATTCTGTTCCTTTGATGTATTTATCTTTTGTTGACCACTGTGGCTGTGTCAGTAAGTGCGAAGCCTCCCACTTTGTTCTTTGTT